CTTGAAACCCCCGACCCCCCGGTGTTTCCCGGACGCTGGGGAGTAAGTACGGTCGTCTCACAAGGATGCGCGGGTACCCGTCGGTCGGAAGACGTGGGTAGAAACATGAAGTAGGAAGGCGCAGAAAGCAGATTGGGCTCCCGCCCGCCTCCTGACCAGGAGGGAAGAGGGAGAACCGCTGGACTCTTGAAGTCGGAAGGCGGCCAACGCAGATAAAGATCTGGGAGTCCAGAAACTGGCGGGCATGGTGCATAAGGGGCACTAGATCGTCTCCCCATGGCCGCTCTTGCCTTCCGGAGCCGCTTTTATGCATGGCCCTGGGCCCCGCCGGCTGCCCCCACGGGAGGCCAGCGACCGAGGAGAGCACAAGCGCGCTGCTGCTTATGTCGAAACCGTTGTCTGGGATGTCTGGGGCCCTGGGCTTCTCTGCTGGGCGGCGCGCAGAAAGGGGGTGGGGGGAGGGGGAACGGCTTCTTAGAAGCACCCCTGCTTCTCTGTCTGCGGATGTCAAGAACCGCGCCTTATGAGAAGCAGACTCCTTCTAAGAAGCCTTCCCTCCTACCCCTCCTCCTCCTCCTCCTCCTCCTCCTCCTCCTCCTCCTCCTCCTCCTCCTCCTCCTCCTCCCCCTCCTCCCCCTTGTGCGCGCCGCCAATCTGCATGCGCTTCGGCGGGCCTCCGCGCCGGTTGAGCGCCGGCCCACGGGCCACGCGCTGCGGCTCGGGCCGGCATGGAGGGCGGAAGGGAATATTTGGTGACCTTCTGGCCATGTCCGAAGTGCCGTGCTGCACCCAACGGCGCGAGTGCACCCGAAGCCCCTGGCTCGACAGATGCACCCAGGAGGATGACGACGAGGAATGAATGAGAGAGTCAAGAGAAAGAGGCAGAAAAGGAGAGGGAGCGAGAGGATGATGGTGATGATGATGATGTTGATGATGATGCTGATGATGATGATGCTGATGATGACGATAATGACGATGATGATGTTGATGATGATGACGATGACGATGATGCTGATGATGATGATGATGATGAGGATGATGTTGATGATGATGCTGATGCTGACGATGATGATGATGATGACGATGATGATGCTGATGATGATGATGATGATGATGATGATGATGATAGTGAGAACGTAGATGATGATGATGCTTGCTGCTGCTGCTGCTGACGATAACAAGTATGGGCCAGCTGGGAATTGGATGTTAGCTCACTTGAGTCCACATAACGCAAACCTAGACAAGGTAAGCTGAGCGCAGCTCAACCAACACAGAAAAGAGCAAGTCAGCTACAACCAAGGCAAGCCACACAGGTTCGTGCCAGACTGAGATAAGCTGAATTGGAAAGTGCAGATTGCCGGTTTGTCTGCTCCTGACAACGGTGGCACAATTAATCGAAGAAAGTGTAAAACCAAGACCAATTACCGATGACGCTCCTGTTTAACAATGCAGCCGAAGTCTGAAGGCTCAATCACCAAACAAATCACAGTCGGCCAAACCTCTCCCGGGGATATCTGAAGTGAGAAACACCGGTCTTGATCGGCTCACGGGGGATCACGCTCCGTTAAGGTGCACAGTCTTGCCAGGATGATTTGCACGTTCGGCGCCAAGCTACTGGAAGGGCAGCGGTGGCTCTGAACACTCTAACAAGGGATGCGGCGACCACAATCCCGGGTTTCGTGGGGTTTCGAATGGGCCAAGGATTTACGATGGGCGGCGTCCATCCTCGATAGGGGCACGTCCAAATTGCCCCCCGGGGGTGCATCCCAGGGTTTCCCCCCTGTTTCTGAGCGGTCAAACTTTTCGGGCGGAACGCGGGGATTGTCGGCTACAGGCGAGAGCGACCCCAGGCAAGATTGACCTTTGGTGCGCGGCTGACTGGGGGACGCAAAAAGGCCGAGCCCGGATGCGCAAGCCGCTGCTACCGCTGCGCGTTCAGCGATCGAGGGACCCCATTGGGCCCACACCAATGAAGGTGACTGCGGCGAGCGGTCACCCTTATACGTCTAATCGAAATTGGGAGAGAAAGCCCCGGGATACACCATGGGGGGCGCCCATCCTGCAAAGGGGGACTTCCGAAGAGCTCCCAAGGGTGCATCCCAAGTTTTACCCCCCCTTTCTCTGAGACGCCAAACTTTTCGGGCGGAGCTCGGGGACTGTCGGCCACACGACAGGTCACTCCCACGTCGGATTTCGTCGGAAAGCGAAAGGCCCCTCCCGCGAAAGGTCAGTCCTCAGTCGGCTCTCTCTTGAGTCCAGTCGGGATTGTCGGCGGCGAGCCCGGGGGGGAAGTGAGAAGGGGCGGGCCGTCTCAGAAGGCTCGGAGGTCCCCGTGGTCTTCTAACAAGTTTTCCCAGCCTTGCCCGAGGACACGAACAATTTCTCGGAAGGCGCGAAGGTTTCTGAGAAGTGCGGCCGCCTTCTGAAGAGGCCTTTTCCTTCTCACTTCCCCCCCCCTCGCTCGCCGCCGGGAGAACCATTGCCTGCGATCTGGTCGATGCATCGCCGACGTCGGCGACGCATCCGCGTGGGCGTGGGAACATCGGGCTCCACATCGAGCCGCATCGTCGATGCATCGCGATTATCCAGCCCCATCTTCCCATCTTATCCAATCCCAGAAGGCCTTAGAGTCTTACATCGGGTCACTTTTATGTCTAATGTGTCGGGATTGGGGGAGAAACATTGCTTGCGAGCTGAGCACCGTCCCCAGTGAGGAAGAGGAAGAGGAGGAGGAGGAGGAGGAGGAGGAAGAGGAGGAGGAGGAGGAGGAGGAGGAGGAGGAAGGAGAAGGAGGAGGAGGAGGAGGAGGAGGAGGAGGGCAGGAGACGGAGGAGGAGGAGGAGGAGGGGAGGGGGGGGAGGAGGGGCGGCGAGAGGAGGGAGGAGGAGGAGGAGGAGGAGGAGGAGGAGGAGGGAGGAGGAGGAGGAGGGAGGAGGAGGAGGAGGAGCAGGAGGGGGAGAAACGTTGGGCACCGCCCCCCGTGGCGGGGAGCGCGCCGCCGAGCGCGCCGCCCCGAGGAGCCCCGCAGGGGGGGTGCGGCGCGCCCCTCCCGTGGCACGAGCGCGGGCGGCCCGGGGCCTTGCCCCGAGCCTCGACGGGGGGCGATGGACGTTTTTTTTGCTGTTGTTGTCGCTTTTTTTTTGGGGGGGGGGGCTGCACGAGTGTGCTCGGTGAGGCGTCTACAGGGTGGGCAGGACTGTATATAGCGGAAGAAGAACTATGCACATAATTACACCGACTCTGGCATACGCCCATCCTGAGCCCAGGATCGGTGCATGCGCCCTCCTGCCCTGGCCGGGAAGGCATATGCACCGACCCTGGGTCAAGGATGGGCCTTGCCAGGATCGGTGCATGTGCATAGTTCTCTTCGCCCGAACTGTAGAGCAGAGTCTGGAGTACACCCTGCGAAATGCTTAAGAAATCATGGGTTAAGAAATTCATAGTCTCAGAAATTGAATAAAAAACCCAACAGTTCCATTAAAATCTAAGATTTACATTGAAACGTTAAGAATAATCGAGACTCTGGCCGAAAACTTGAGTTTTCTTAAGCATCGCCTAAGGTGTAGAGCAGAGTCTGGAGTAGGGCGAGAAGGGTGCGCCTCCCTCCCGCGGCACCCGCCGGCGCCGCGGGGTGCGATCGACGTCACGGAGGTCTGCGGCGGGGCCCCTCGCGCAGAGGCACTGCCCCGTAGCTGAAGCAGCGCCGGGGGGTCGGGTCTGCAGGGCGCTCCAAGCGGACGTCACACAAAGGGCGCAATCAGCCTGTTCGGTCAGGTGGAAAAACTGATGCAGCGCACTGGGCGACAAGCCCAAAAACTTGGACACACTCGAATGGCAGGGCTTGGCGCTCCCAGAACACACACACACACAACTACCGGGTTGGGAGGATGGGGTTGGGAAACTACGGGGCACGACTGTGTGATGAACACACTCGGTCGGAGGTTGGGGGGTGAGATCGCAGTGAAACGGAGACCCCCCACCGGGAAATCGGTTTCGGTTTCGTGTTCGTGTCGTGCGTGCGGGCGAGGCGAAGCTGCGCGTGCCTCCTGTAGCTAGGCCGAAGTAGGAGCGAAAGACCGTTCCCCAGCAGCTGGTGGCCGGTTGGGCCGGGCGGTGCCCCGGGTGTCCCAGGTGTTAGTAGGAACAAAAGTCCGTTTCCCGTCCGCCGGTGGCTGAGAGGTGTCCCAATTGGGCCGGGCGGTGTCCCAGGTGTTCCGAGTGTCCCGGGCGTCCCAGTGCTAACGCATGTCGCTAATTTCGTAGTTCATTTTTGTTCGGCACCTGCGGCGGGCTTTCTTATCCAATCCCGCTTATCTTATCCAACCCATCTTGTCCAGTCCAATCCAACGCATCTATCCCAGCCCATCCAATCCACCCAACCCAATCCATCAATTCATTTGTTTCTGCGCCTGCGGCGGGCCAATCCAATCCATCTCATCTTATCCGATCCATTTCTTCCAATCCCAAGCCATCTTTTCTTATCCAATCTATACTATCCCATCCCATCCAATCCACCCAACCCAATCCATCAATTTTTTTTGTCGGCACCTGCGGCGGGCATTATTATCTAATACAGCTAATCTTAACCATTCCATCTTGTCCAATCAAACCCATTTTGTCCCATCTTATCCTATCCCACCCAATCCGACCCATCCAACCCAATCCATCAATTCATTTGCTTCTGCGCCTGCGGCGGGCCAATCCAATCCATCTTATCTTATCCAATACGTATCTTCCAATCCAGGGTGACAGGCGGAGGTCCGTCAGGGTGGGCATTTGATCCCAATCTCCCCCCCAAACTCCTTATCGCCCGCAGGGCGGTCGTATAGGTATACGCGATCCTACAGCAATGATCTGGTCATCCCTCCAAGCCCCATTCTCACAACCCGATCGCCGTCTTCCTGGGCGTCGCACGCGCACAGGCGATGCCCCCTAGCGGGCCGCGCCCCGGGGGAGCCCGCTGTGAGGCCCCGCCCTGCTGCCTTCTTCGCCTTGCGGGCGGCGAAGAACGCCTCCGCCGCGTCCAGGCCCGAGCCGCTGGACTCCTCGGGGGTTAGGGTTACGTCGGGTTTGTCCCCCATACAGGCGGATTTTGGACGAAAGTTTAACATAAAAGGAACATTTGCAAAAATGGTCAAACAATCGTCCCCCGACTTTTGTCTAAACTATGCTTGGACACTCCACCTGTAGACGGACCGGCCCGACTTAAAGTTACGGGAAAGCACGCGGAGACAGGGGGAAGGAGGTGTCTGTGGCATCCTGCTTGGCGTGTAGGTTCTAAGGGTAGGACCCTGGGGATGTTTTGGGGTTTCTGGGGGGAGCGCGGAAGGTCAGGGGAAGAGGGGGAGGAAGAGGGGGAGGAGGAGGAGGAGGAGGATGAGGAGGAGGAGGAGGAAAAAGTTCGAGCGCCGGTGGGCGCTCTGGCGAAAAGCAACAATGAGAATGCGAATCAAGATGTAGAGTAAATGGGATAAGGGATGAAGGTGTGAGATGTCTTTGCAGAAAGGGCTTTGCAGTTTGCTTTGCAGTCGGTTAGTCCCGCGGGTTTGAGCCCAGAGGCGACGGAACGCACAGCAGAAAAGATGGGGATTTATGCAAATATCCCCTTCGACTCTCCCCCCGTGCGGTCGCTCTGGCTTGGTGCCCGCCGTCTCATAGAAAAAGGCTGTACAGTACGATATGAGAGGCACGATTCGCAACTACAGCGGCCGATTCATGAGTTCGCCCGTGCATCTCCCAGCCTGTACAATGCACATGCATGCTTGTATTGCTACCTACGTTTCGGGAGAAAGAAATAAAATGAAGAGCCCGTCCTCCGTAAAACGAGGCATTCCAACTCGAGAGTCACGACACAATCTAGAAATACATACACGCAAAACGACGACCACGACCGTCGCCTGCATGTTTATGCTGGCGCGAATGGCTATGGCGGCCACCCACACCGAGGCGCAAGAAAAGATGCAACACATTTTTACGCCAGCATCTCAGCGCTGCCTATCACGGACACATTTCTATGCCCTTGGCTCAGAGTAATCTGCCGCGGGCATATTTCCATGCCCTTGGCTAACAGTAGCCTGCCGCGGGTACATTTCTTTGCCCGTGGCTCAGATTGTCGCCGTCGTCGTACTGCCTGCGGACTGCTGCGTGCGGCGTGATGTGGACACGGTTTTCCTTACCACAGTGTTCCCTGCGGTCTTTTTGTTGCCCTGGACGCATGTGGTGCATGCTCCAGGGTGCACCCTTCCCCTCTGTTGCCACAAATTACGAGTTGATCTCGTGGCACGGACCCCTTCGTCAGCCGATCTGCGATGCGAGCATGGCACGGGTGTCAGACCAATAGAGCCTGCGGAACGCTCCGGTTGCGAGGCGCTCGCGCAAGGAGAGCACGTGAAGCTTGATACTTCCTTCCACAAGCTCTCCCAAGCCCGTAGCGGCAAGGTAATCAAAAACACTACGTGCATCGATCACAGCGTCACACGGCGGACGAAGCTCTCCTCGGTGCAACGCATCAGCCAAAAGTCGCGCCGAATTCTCGCAACCGTGCCAAATTTGATGCAAGCAAATCTGAATGCCAAGAAGGCCTTCCACAAGGTCTACGAGCCCGTTGAGCTCGCCAGAAAATGTGGATCGGACTACTCGTCGCTGTCGTCTGCAGAGGCGCGTGCCGCCGCACCCACCGTGGCACCAGGTTGAGTCGTTTGCAATCCTTCGCCCGAGGCCTTTGTCCGCGTCGCTGCAGGGCTGGAACATGCACGCGGGTGGCAGCCATAGTCAAGCACAACCTAGCAACGCCTTCGAGAAGACTCGCGTAGCTCGAAGCCGCCTCCTCGTTCACCTCGTCGTCGTCTGACTGACCTTCAAAGAAACGGCGGTCCAGCGCGGAAAGCGTCGCCGCATCCTTCTCCTGATGTGCATGGATGTCGTCTGCGCGAGAGACGTGATCTATCCCCACATGTGTGAAATTGTGCCACTGTTGCGTGCAGGTGCCAACGTGCATTTTCCAAGTGCAGTAGGAGTTGCAGCGCTAGCTTCCGCGGTGCTCCTCCCTTGAGACCGTCGACGTCGTCGACGCTTGCTGGCAAAATCATCGCTGGGTGCGTCTGCTCGTGTCGGACGTACAACTGGGCGTCGACATACAGAGCTCGAAGGGCGAACCCCTCCAGAACGAGGTGCAGCTTCTGCCGCCACGCTCTGGGGCCTTCTTTGAGCCCGTACACTCCCTTCACCATGATGAATACCACCCCCCTGGGGTTGAAAGTCCAGAAACCAGGGATCATCTTGAGCAGCTCCGCGCCCTCGCGGTCAAGCCCAAACTGCACCATTCGAAGAGGCAAGTTGCGACAGCTCTTCAAAAGTGGATCCCGTGGCAAATGCTGCCGACGCGTCGAAGCTAAACAACGCGCAGTCGCCCTGCTGCACAGTTACAGCGTTGACCACTCGTTGGCCCCATCGCGACGCAGTCCCGGCGAAGGTGGCCAGATGACTCTCCACGTCCTGGAAACCTCGCATCGTGAGCCTAGCTTTGATGAGCTTCTTGAGAACACGGTGCTTCCACTTGAGCACCCAACGTGCGTCTACTACGTTATGCGCCCGTCTCCTCGGATACCGCTTGAAGCACCCCAGCTCGTATAGTGAAACAAGTTCTGCTTTCTTCGGTTCAACTATCTCGATAGCGTGTTTCACCATTTCCTCCCTGCTGAGGTCTGTCAGGGGTTTCGAGATCACGGTCTTCTGTTCCCCTGTCACTCTGTTCCACAGACTCACCACTGTCTCGCCGTCGTGCACCATAACCCATTACAATATGACTCCGCGCCGCCACTCCCTCAAACCCAATCTCCACTTCTTTCAGCACGCCGTCGCGGTGAGTCGGGACTTGTCCATTCTTAGCTCGCCGTCGTCGCCGTCTGGTAGCTCGTCGCCCTCGTCGCTGTCAGCTTCATTGATCTCGTTGGTCCACAGCTTCCAATCAAGTTCCTTCTCATCCCCTGTGACGGTCTGTTCTGCTGAATGGTTGCTGCGTCTTCGGCTGTCGGCAGCAGGGGTTGATGAAGCTGCGGGATCGAGTCCGATGGGGCTGCTCCTCCTGTCGGCTGTACCAATTGCGTCGGCAATGCTGCAGGAGTCAGTACCGCGCCATCTTGGATTGTGGAAGCCTCTGACGCTGGATGGGGGTAATGAACAGTCGGTTCAGGTGATGCGCCTTCAACCGTCGATGTTAGCGGCGGGGACATCTCTATTCCCGTGCCGCTTGAATGGTCGGCTGTGTTTTCCGTCGCTGTTGACGAAACTCTTGGCCTCTTTTCTGGCGATCCTCCGTCTTTGGGCGGTGAGTGCACCCCAGGCGCATACTTGCGCGGTGACGCAACCAAATCCCACACTGTAGCTTGTGATCTGGCTGTTGGCCACGGCAATGGTTTTTGGTCGGTCAGGCGGAGGTGGTTTAGCCACAGGTGCTGGTTGTACTCCTGGTGGTGTTCTCGATTTTGGAGTGGCCATCTGCTTCGCCTTGGCGGTCGGAGGCGACGGTGGTGGACCGCCCAGTTGCATCGAGACCTCAATTGGAGAATCGGCTTTCGCGAATGGGCTTCTAGATCATGGGGTCTCCTGATCCTGAAGTGTTGTTGCTGCTGCTGTCGGCGCAGGCGGAGGTGGTGGTGGTTTAGGGTGGCTGCTCATCTGAACCAGAATCTACGTCATCGAAGATGACGCTTTGTTTGGTGGAGTTCTTGTTATGTTTCCACATGTTCTGCCGCCCCCCCCCCCCCCCCCCCCCCCTGCGGCAGGCGGCGAAGGTAGAGGGGGGGGGGGGGGGCGGGGGGTCTTCTCAGAGTCCCCGTGATTCCCGTCGCCTGCGATTTTGATTTGCTTGGGTCCATCCTGCGAGGGAGCATTGGAGGCGCGGGAAGTGGAGGTGGAGTCGACTGCGGTACGACCGCCGGCACGCGCTGCATCTTAGGCGGCGGCGGGTTCGTCGTCGTAGGCTTCAGTCGAGTCGGCGTGCGGTGCACATATCTGCCAAGCCACTGTCGGACAAACGCGTCGTTGGCGCCGGCGCTGGCATCGTGCCAACCGGCGCGCGCTGAAGCGGACAAATCGTGCCCCCTTGCGCGCCATCGCCGTCCAGATCGGGAGTCGGAGGTTCGGGAGATGGCGCTGGAGTCGAGTAGGTACGCTTGGGGGCAGGAGGTATTGGAGTCGATGGGGCAGGAGCGGCAGGAGGCAATTTGGGTGAGGGAGGGGTCGGAAATTAAGGGTTGTCGTCTCCCTCTTCCTCCCTCCTTCTCCTCCTCCTCTCAACCTGGCCGCTTCCAGCTTGACGTCGTGCTCCAGGGCGCTGCTGTCGTCGGCCGCTGCCCCGAAGAATTGGAGCAGCAGAAGTCGGTCCACAGAGCGGCGCTATTGCGGATGTCAGGGTCGCGCTGAACCAGGCTTTTGATGTGGATCGGTTCGTTAACGTCCCCGTACTCACTGTTGAAGACGAGCGGCTCGTCGTCTACGCCACCGCCCTGTAGAGTCGATCGCTTTGCAACGGCTGTAGTATTGCCGCCCCCCTGGCAAGCCTGATAGCGGCACGCGTTTCCATGCGCACCGCGGTGGCTGCCAAGAAAGGCCCTGCGTCTAAAACTCGCCTCCATGTTGTCGAGATGCTGTCCCGAGATAGATGCCAGCCTGCAGTGCTGTTGTGCAGGATGAGGACGTACGTCTTCGCGGCGTTGATGCTGAAGTCTCCCGCCGTGTCGCAGACCAACTGCCACTGCCTATGTGGATGTCGTTTCTGGCTTACCAAGAACACCAAGTAAGCTACGTGTTCGCGAACCCCCTGCCCGCGTCTGTCCAGAGTACGTCCTTGATACCGCACTGCAACGACGCCTGTATGGTGTGAGCAATGGCCGGGCCGCGCCATCCGCTGACGTCCTTGGTCGTTTGCTCAAACGAAATGTCAACTTGCTGTCCTGGCTTGAGCTTGGCCAATTCCAGTGCTGGTCGGGCGCGGTAACGTTCTGTTCGTCGTAGCCGGTTTCCTCGGCCGGCTGCTCCATGATCG